ACATGCAGTTTACGCAAAGCGCAGGAAAACGTGTGCAAACGAGCCATGAATGGTTTTGGTCTTACTTCTGATTAGATGACAAAGTGGCGTGGGTTTCATGAGACAATAAGGTAGTAATGCAAAACCAAAGCAAATGCGATAAGTAAAATCGCTCGAAATCCTGCATGGATTAAAGAGATGAATCTTTCTAGTTGACTACATACCAGAAGGTTCATCAGTATGATCGCCATAAGAAGCAGGAAAAAAGTGATGAAGACAAACGCAGCTTCAGGAAACGGATTCTGTGGTGCGGTAGTCGATCGCGACGTAGCATTCTTGCTAATGGTTTTAATGAATGTATCATCGAATTCTAGCTCCCCAATCATCATCACTGACACCTTGAGAAAAGATCTCCCGAGATCGCTAAATGAATCCTGTGGTACAAACAGAGAAACGCATTAGAAGAAGTAATTCAGACTGGAAACGAACTAAAGTCGTGCTCTCTTGAGATCAGCCGTTTCTGGTTGGTTGGGTTTTTTCGCTTTCCGTTGGGGGAAAACCCGTGCTTTGGTTGATCAACTTTTTCATCCGGTCTCAACCCAGGTTGAAACGGTTGAAAATGCATTTGCGTGACTATGTTACGTGATTGTAGCTTGCATAAGGACAATTCTGAGGAGTTAACGCGTTTCAACCGAAAACGGGCGGAAAAGTGTTGTATTGAGAAAGGTCAACCGTATCAACCCAAGCCGGTTATGGTTGAAACGGTGATCCTAATAAAAAAGTCCCTCCTATTCGTGGTTTGCGATCTTTCTCGAGAGATTCTAATGACAATACCCTGGCGACCATGTTGGATGACAAGAACAATAAAACTAAGAATAATTATTTTGTTCATTGTCATTCAACATGGCGGTGATGACATCAGTTGCAAACGATTTATCCCCCGACCCTCCGACATCTGACAATCAAACAACAGAGTGCCTTACTATCCAACTTATCAGCTGGCTTTTTAACTCAGTACCACTACCCAATAACTTATTGAAGTAACACAGGACAACTTGACTAACAATAGACGGACCTCATAGAGATCGAAACTTACTGGAACCGACCAATGACTGCTGAAGAACTTTACACGAGTCTTTCAGCCAATAACATCATGGCTAAACTGACCTATCACTTTTAACGGACCAGAACTTCTGGTCCGTTAAAATGATTTTATCACCATCGACTGACAAACACTATTTACTTGACTCTGAAGATGACTTCGTTCAGGTTGTTGAAAAAGGACTGGGGTGCTCGTCAGAAATTTTGGAAAAAACCCCTAAGAGGTACCAAGACCCTGTTTTGTGGGCGTGGCTTGAGATGTTTTTCACTCCCGAGAGGTAACAATTCTAAAGCAGTTACATTTACTCCCAATGACTTTTTTGGCTACCGCGAAAGCTCCTGGTGGGGGTCCCTTTGAGGCTACACACCCTAAGAGGTAGCAGCACCCTCGTCCTTTTTGTGTGGGAGTCATCCCCCTTCGGATTAATACAATTAATTTTTAACATTTTCATCTCACCTGCTCCTTAAAGAGGATGAAGAAAACGATGGCAAACCCAAAAATGAAGACAAAGAAGACCATCAGCACCTTGAGCACCGTCTGGGTGACCTCTAGAAACATGGTGACGTAAATACCAAACAGGCGAAATCGGCGGAGGAAGAGGACCAAGTTTGCGTAACAGAGGAATATCGACACCAATCCCACAATCCAGAGAAAGTAAGGATCTGTCATTTGGCTGAATAGATCTTCAGTGATATCGTCAGGCATAACAAATGGTATCATGAAGGCAAATGCGGTACCATAGAGCGCCCATTCGAGCAGGTTGCTGATGTCTGTGAAGTACCTAAAGCGTTGAATGAATATTTGGAAAATCTCCTTCACAAGATGGACAAGTGCGAAGCCAAACACTATATACGAAAACCCTTTGCTAAATGCCGTTTCGACATCGTAAACTTCCGACACTTTGTCACATACCAGTTGATAATCTTCTATAAAGGTGTCATTGTCGTCAAAGTAAGAAAAGTCTTCATAGTAACAGTCTTTTCCGTCCACTTTGACGAGTGACGTAAAGTTCTGCTTATTTCTCTCAATGACGATAAAAGCCGAATAGAGACCAACAAAGATCAAATACGATAGAAAGTTCAAGTAGTAAATGAAGCGTCCAAAGGTCGACCATTTCTGACTCAGCAACATCTGGGTTAGTGGATGAAGCAGCAGTCCTTTCCGCTCGTGTTTCACCATGGTGCTTGGTCCGAAGAAACGTCTTCCATGAACGAAAGCTGGGTCGTCAGGGCCTGGGTCTAGAAGGCTGAAATCGTAAGTAACAGAAAACTGTGGATCGTTGGAACTCGTCATCTCTGATCTTTTAACACAGCGGTCCATCAACAGCTCAGCGCTTTCTGGAAAGTGCTCTATTAGCAGCTTCATAGGTGTGTGGCCATGTATGTCCTTGTGTTCCATTATTTCAGGCCATCTGGTGAGTGGCAGAAACAGATATCATGATATGACAAATATTCAACACAAAAGGCATAGAACCTTTTCACTTTTCACGTGAAGGTGACCAGCGTGCATGCAAGTTAATTGCAACAAAAGAAAGTGTACACATAAGCAGTGAGTTTAACTTCCACAAAATTGGTTTGGGACATCAGTATGGCCGCCTTGACGTCGTGTGAAAACACTTTATAATTAAAGGCTGCCGCACACTAGACGATTTTTTTGTCGTAGAACTGCAGATTTTTTGTCGGGGTCAAATCGAGTTAAGATTTGTCGGGCTATCAGCTTGCCGCACACTAGCCGATTTTTTGTCGCGACTAACCGCGTTGAGACTTGGGGCCGAGTCATTCAAAATCAAGATAGCGCCTATTCCACTGACGTGACTCTCATGACATTTACTAATTGGTTGAGGCGCGCGCGAGCCCCGACAAATTGTCTTGGTCCACCGCGCACTAGCCTACAAGGCCCGACAAGACGTTTTGAGATCTAGCACTGTCAGAAATCGCCCGACAAGCCCCGATCTTGTCGCAGACTCGTCTGAATTCGCACCCTAGCCGACAAGTGAAGATTTTTTGTCGGCCGACAAAAAATCGGCTCGTGTGCGGCAGCCTTAACAAGAATGAAAATTGCACCTTTTGTCAAGTCATAACTTCACATGCAAATAAATTGGCATCAATATCGCAAACTTGAAAATTCATTATTCGTAACAAAAGGTACCCTATGCATCCTAGCAGGAATTTGAAGGAGGACGAAAGATAGATTAGAATGTAATGCAGCGGATTTCAGTTGCGTGTCGAGAAGTAATTGATTGTGCATTACTACATGAACGCGTCAAGATTGGTTTAAAAAGCTGGCGCCTCTTTTTCATCCAATCGAGGTAAAACCAAAACCAATCGTGTCTCGCTCACACACGTTTTCCCGCGCTTCGCGTAGGCTACATTCGTTCAGTTCGAGTCTAGAATGGTTTACTGGATTGTTTGTGTCTTTTGTGATTGGCCAGAGTGATTACTTTCGTTTTGATTTTACGACACTCAGTCAAAACCCGCTCTATTACTTACACCTGTGATTCATCGTAAGTTATTTAGGTAACACAACCGTGTGACATTCATATATGTTAACATGTTAACTCTTTTACTTTTCAGTGGCTGTTCGGTTGCTTTAATTCATCTCTAAATTAATGACTCCAATTCCAATCGTAAATTAGTTAGTTAAGTGCTGGAATAGGTCCAAAATGGGTAACGAAACGATCGTTGATCTCGCTGACATTTCTAAATTAAAAATGACCTCTACCTTTTGGGGTCGAACCCTTGAATTGTTTGGAAGGATTTTAGTCCCCTGATTCGCCGTTGTTTTTACAAAGCACCAAGAATGAGGTTCCTTAAGAAGAAAGAGGAGTAAACTTTGCTATCTAACATAGGCTTACTTCCCCTTTGAAATGACCGAAGTGTACGTAGGATTAACGTACGAACTTGCTCTAATCACATAAGAAAAGACCATCTCACCTTTGATGCTTGACCATAGCCATGGCTACCTCGCTATTCCCCGCCCGAACTGCAGCCTCTAGACAGGTTAAACTCTGCGTGTTGCAAACATTTAAACTTGCGCCATTTTCCAGCAGTAAGTTGACAATGGCTACGTGACCTTGCCTACAGGCAATGTGCAAGGCAGTATCTCCGTCCATGTTGACGTCATCTGGTGATGCTTGCATGTCCAACAATGCTTGACAAGACTTTCCCCACCCTAGCTTTGATGCCCACATTAACGGTGTCCAGCGGTTGCTGTCTCTGCTGCTTGC